CGTGAGTGGTTTCAACGCTTCAAGAACGGTGATTTTGACGTCCAAGGTCATGCTCTGTATTTGGTGGGACCAGCTCGACGTAGTGTATTATGTAAAACCAACTGAAACAATCACAGGCGATCGGTATCGAACGCAATTGATGCGTTTGAGCCGAGCATTGAAAGACAAACGGCCGCAATACAACGAGAGACACGATAAAATGATTTTGCAGCATGACAATGCTCGACCCCATGTTGCGAAAGTGATCAAGACATACTTGGAAACGTTGAAATGGGAAGTCCTACCCCACCCGCCGTATTCTTCAGACGTTGCTCCCTCTGACTATCACTTGTTTCGATCAATGGCACACGGCCTGGCTGACCAGCACTTCCGGTCTTATGAAGAAGTAAAAAATTGGATCGATTCGTGAATAGCCTCAAAAGATGACCAGTTTTTTCGACGCGGGATTCGTACGCTACCCGAAAGATAGAAGAAAGTAGTGGCCAGCGATGGACAATACTTTGAATCATAAATGTATACCTAACCTAACCAGTTTTTTACAATAAAGCCTCGAATTTCGGAAAAAAATGGCGGAAGCAAAGTTGTACACCTAATACAATTATAATAAATTTTCTACAGATTGATTATATTACGTAAGTTAGTAGTAAAAAAATAGTAAAAAAATCTGTTAGTTTTTCGGAAAACATATGTAATTCTCTGTTTTAAAAACACATTTTCTATATAATTTTTACTCCTTGTATAATATTAATTACATAATTTTTATGTAATACTATTACATACTTTTTGTTTTTATAGCAGAGAATTGGTTTTGGTTATGATCTTTGTTTGCTTTAAAAACAAATTCTCTGTTTTAAAAACAAATTCTCTATTATAAAAACGAAAATTATATAGAAAATAATTTAGAAAATTATATAGAAAATAATTGCTTTTAAAGCAGAAAATTTATTTTTAAAGCAGAAGAAAAATCATGTATGAACAAAGTTGGACATATATTAAACATATTACATGTTTTTTATATGTAATATTATACGTTATATGTGTTGTACACGTACGTTTTATCATATTATATATATACGTATTATATATATATGTATTATATATGTAATGGAATCCTTTCTATAATAAGCATTAATCATAAATCAAAAATCAGAAGCTAAAAATTGATCAATCACAGTCGTCAATTTTTAGCTTCTGACTTCTGATTTATGTCTATTAAGAAGCTACTCGCAGCTCTAAATTGCCTAACTCTGTATATGATTATTTGTATAATGCTAGCAATCTAGAAATTAAAATTATGTCGTTTAGAAATTTTTGTTGGTATTAACATTTCACTTTTCTGGAAAATGTCTAATCCCGTCTATGCCATTAATACACATGACAGATTTTCTAACCTGCTAAATCTCCATAAACTTTATGCTGATTCTACAATGAGTCTGTAGTCAATGAAATAGCTTAATCAATGAAATTGACCAATCAGCGTTAACTATCGTTACTATCTTCGGATTAAGCTAAGAAGAAGAAGAATGTTAGTCGTACAAGTTGGCTTAAGTCAACTTCCTTGTTAAGACTTAGGATTACCGATTACAGACTCATTATAGAATCAGTATAACAATATCTCGATTTGCAAGACAAAGCGACTTTTTTTGTGCTAGATTCATTCATTTCGTGCAATATGCATCGAATGAGACTTAATCAAAATCGGAGATGAGGAGGTTAAATTCAATGATTATCCTTTGTTACTCACTGGAATACCAAGAAAGATAGAATGATATTTATGTCGATTTGTGTCGACTGGACGAGATTGGAAGCATCGAATATTGAAACAATATTAAACCAATCTCGTCAATGAATTGTGACATTCGGAGCTGATTCAGAATTCTTTAACAAAGGCCTCGTTTTACATTCTTACCTCCTTGATAATGTACTGAATGTCATTGTTAATAGGCCATTGGTTCCTGCAAGCACTCAACGTTACTCAAAGACACATTCATAGATAGCGAAATGGAGATTGACGCGCAATACTTACTTGGTCTTCTTACTCGTCCACCTGCTACGATTCCTTAGTATCCAGATAAGCGTGCTGACCGCGACCGCGCCGGCCAGGGTACGTCTGGTGGCGAATTTGCTGAGGGCCGGTGCCATCTCGATGCACTCGGTGTCGACAGTCGAGAGTCGAGCTCGCGTACGTGCGTTACTAGCTGCACTGTTCTGGCAGCCCTGGCGCGACGATTGAACTATCGCGTAGCCTTTGGAGCATAAAGTCAGGTTAGCCAAGACAAGAGCGGATGAGTCAAATGCCATCACGTCGTGCCGAGATGGTGGTGGTAGCGACGATTAAGTGGGAGATTTAAGATGGAGAGGAGGAGAAAGAGAGAGGCACGAATGAGGAACTGTCTACTGCCGACGTCGATGGTTGACACAATCAGCGGCATTCTGCGTGGACTTTCTGCGATCGCGTAATAGTAGAGTATATATATCTATTGTACGTAATAACGGAGATGAAACATATACTCGTGTCGTATATGCCAGCTTTTTCTTCTTCCCCTTCTCCAGTCCGCAAATCTGCGGATGTATTGTGCACTGTGCAATCATCGCATTTCTTCTCTTTCTCCTTCCTTGCACGCACTGGATGCCGGCTGGATACCGGATGCCGGCAGCAAAAGTGCAAAATACGAAGTATGCACTCCAAATTACTTTCAAGATTGCAAACATCCGCCATGTATTTGAACAACATGCTAGATAGCTAGAAGCTATCGTTGCGCAGTGATTCGAGGATCCCGAGGGGGGGATCCCATGGGCGAAATGCGAAACGAATTAATTCTAAACTGACAATATATACACGTATACATTTTCTATATATTTATATGAAATTTCTTAATTATCAAGAAATAAAAACTGAAATTATAATACTGTAGAAAAGTTTTTTCATTAAAAAAAAGAAATAGAAAAAAAAATAAAAAACATAAAACATTATGTTAAATATTAAAAATATTCAAAAATAATAAATATTAAAATATTCAAACACATAACACTTAACATAACATATATGTATATATACAATATTAAAAATTAAATATTAAATAGATATGAAAAGCAGGGTTAACAAATAATGCGTTATTTGTAACGTCGTTACCGTTACAAATTAATTCTTTTGATAACACTTGAGTAACGACATTACATTTTCTTCTGAATAACGCTTTGAAATTGAATAGTAACATAGTTATATTTTTGGAGTAATAGTAACGATTTCATTACTTACTTTTATCGTTACTTTATACTTTATTTCTATTTACGTAAAAGTTTTAATTGTAATTAGAGCGTATATACACACACACACACGCGCGCGCGCGCGCACACACACACACACACACGCACGCACGCGCACACACACACACACACACACACGCACGCGCGCACACACACACACACACACACGCACGCACGCACACACACGCACGCACGCACACACACACGCGCACGCACGCACACACGCGCACGCACGCACACACACACGCGCACGCACGCACACACGCGCACGCACGCACACACACACGCGCACACACACACGCGCACACGCACACACACACGCACATGTATCTATATATCTACATATTTATCACAGTTTTTGAATGTTTATAATTACTGCAAGAATCTGCATGTAAGCCTTTTTTATTTAATACACATTAAGTTATTTAATTACGCATATTATTATTTAATTACGCATACTTTAAAGCCGCTGTACAATCAATGTAAAGATGTATGATTAATAAAAATATAAAAACGAATTAAGGATTTTCTCCGAAAAATTTATTTTCTTTAGATTTTTTTTGAAACTTACAGAAAAAGTTTGTTATCCTGAACATATTTTTAAAACTTAATACTCGGAGAGAGATTAAAAATCGAGATATTTCACTTCAAAGTGTTTAACATAGGATTCTTACCTAACAATAAAGCTTATTCGAAAGTGGTTTTTTTATTCATTGTAAAAAAATTTTTCTTAACAATTTTTTGAAACAATGAAACATAAAACTTGATATCACAAGGAATAATATGAAATTTGTCTGAATATGGCTTCCGGTATTCGTTTTTAAGAAATCATTGAGCAAAATAAGTAGCTCCATAAAAAAGAATTTTATTTTATATAATTTGTATATTTGTTTTATTAGAATTAACTATATTGTATAAAAACATTAACACTTATGGAATAAAAAAAAATTTAAACTGTTTAAAGGTGGCTTAAAAATACAAAATATAAATAAAAAGGATACAGCCACGACGCTAGATGTTTTAAACGTTAATATATTTAAAAGTTAATATATTTAAAATTATCACATACAATAACATAGACGTTTCAAGATTTATCAGTACATATCAATACATATCATCAGAAAGATATCAGCATCATCAAGATATTAAAAAAAGAAATACATAGAATTATATACTCTTTTTTTGACATTTCTTGATATTTTTATATACTGATGATGGTCTGTATGATCCTTTTTATTTATACTTATGGAACATCTTATATTATATAAAAGTGAAATAAATTATTTTCATAATGGTGAGTACTAATGTGCTCATTAAGTTGAGCACAACTGCAGTCGAAGAACGTCCTTAAATCACGAAATCCTTAATCCTTTATTATGCTATTTGATAAAATATACTTTAGGCATTATATCATCTCAAATATCTTATTTTTACATTTAGATTAGAATTGCGTACTACGGCTTTAATGTGCACTAACAATAAATAAGCACAAGTTTTGCCACAATGAAAAACGCTATAATATATTATATATATTATTAATATCAAGAAAAGAAGTAAATGATTCGTTATATTTTGAGAGACGGTAACGAGTTATTTTTGCAAATCAATAACGGATAATGGTCTGACTCTTTTATTACTATTTTTATTACTTTGCAAATTTCAGAAAATTGGTATCATTAAATGTATAACTATGTATAGCACACATACAATATTATTTTACTTTAATAAATTATTTTACTCTAGATGCAGCAGATGTCACTGCTGATTAATAATTATTATTTCAAGCGCTTGATTTTGTTATAAAATTACGAGAAATCCACAGAACACAAACTATTAATAACAATACGTATATCAATGTTATAATTTTTCTTAATTAACAAATAAAATTGTTATGTATAATATATATTACATTATATTACATTATAGAGAAATAATGTGAAATATTAATAATAATGCGAAAATATTGAAAATAATTAAAAGGATAATTTTCACACTATTTGTTTTAGAAAAAATCAAGTTTGAAGAAATGTAAAAAAATTACTTATGTATAATTATATATAAAATTATAATAATTGATATGAGCAATTTTTTTTAGATTTTTTCAAACTTATTTTTTTTTTAAACGAACAATATGAAAATTATCCCTTCAATTATTTTTTATGTTTTCACATTATTATTTCTATTACACTAAAAAGTAATTTTACAAAAAAAAGAGGGATGTGGACATATTTCATATATTGTATATAATTATACATGTTTATGAATATTTGTATATATTTATATATATTTATACATATTCATGCATAAAAAATTTTTTACCAGATAAGAACCGAGAAATTCTTTGCTCTAGAACATAAACTAAAATAACACACATTACATTGCTAAATTGGAAAAACCGATATCTTTATATTCATACGCTATTGATTACTATTTAAATTACTACTAATTAATTATATTAATTTTATTTATATCTTTATTGTGTTATTTTCTATATTTCTGTCATATTTTATTATATAATTGTATTATATCAAGGTTTAAACTAATTTTGAGCGACATATACATATATTATTGACATTTTTTAAGGAGTCATCCATTACATCTTTTTTTTCTCATACATCATTAAAGGTGTAGTCTCGTCACATGTATTAGATTTTCAGTACTGACAATAAATTTTGGAACACAGCCAAAGCCTTATTACAAATGATAATGCTTCAAAGCATTTGATTTACTAATCAGAAGAAAGAATTTTACTATAATTGATCAATAAAAAAAAATGCTTCAAGGTAAATTAACAATTATAGCATATATAACGTTTACCGAATCTATAATCTATATCTCTCTGCATCTTAATAAAGCCATTATTATTATTATTATTATTATTATTATTAATATTATTATTAATATTTATATTACAATAAAAAGTAATTTTACAAAAGAAAGAAGGATATGGACATATTTTATATTATAATTATGAATGTTTATACATATTTATACATATTTATACATATCTTTGTATAATAAATTTTTGACCGGGTATAAATAAATCATAGAATCGTAGATGACCAAATATAATGATTAGAAATATCAAAAAATTCATAATTTGTGAAATTATGCCAATTTCATGTCTTGGCTCTCCTCCAATTATTGAAATATATCTTGATACTTATTATTGTGAATAACACTCATTTTCAAAAATCGCAGCGAACATGGTTTTTTCTTTGCTTCGCTCCCAAAATTAATTTTGGTAAATATATTTCTATTTCTATGAATATGTATTTCAGCGATGTTTCGCTATTAATTGAACATTATCGAACTTTGAGCATAACCTGCATATATACAACTTCGTTGTATATAAAAATTAATGGAAATAAAACGGCAGCTTTTATTAGCTCCATGAAATGACATTTTTACGTAACAAAATCAAGGACAAAGTATTTGCGGTATTCAACTTATTATAATCTTTAGGCCTTTCGGCCTTCAAAATTTAACAGGTGTAAGAATTAAAGAAGTTGTAAGTGCATAAAACACATATATATTAATATTTATGCTTTAAATATACATGTGAAAGTTGTGTTCGTAACATTCTGTTTTTATTGAGTAACACATTTTTATAGATTATTGATTTTATTTAATATTAGTTTATTTTATTTATAAACAAAAATTTTAAAAATAATAACAAAAATTAAAATTTTTTTAATATAAATATTTTAAGTATTAAAAATGACTTATGCAAAATTTCATTGAGATTCATCAATTAGTTTATAATAAATAAATATTTTGTTTATTTATTACAAACTAATTACAACAAAAAAAAGAATTAGAACAATTAATGTTTGCATCTCAATATAACTTTACATAAATATTTTGGAATTCGTAAAGTACTTATATTTATAAAAAAATAGAGATTTTTATCATTATTTTAATACATTTTCATATATTTTTATTAGAGTGCAAATTTAAAAAATATTACTTTTTATTGAAATAATTTTTGATCCAAATCGTCAACTAATTTTTTTGTATTAAATGCAATTTAGAATGTAATTTTTTTCAAATTATTTTTAACATATTGCATTTATCTTAGAATTTCCGCCTTAAGATGGATTTCCGATTCCACCAATATAATTTTGACTTTAAACGAGGTTTAAAATTCTCTCTATCTCTTATTTTAAAGCAAAAAAGAAATAGGAACAGAGAGAATTTTAAGTCTTGTTTAAAGTGAGACTCTTTCTGAATCTCTTTTGACTTTATAAAAAAAAGAGAGTTTTGAGTCTCGTTCAAGATATAACATCGATGCAATCTATACGTCGTCCGATAGATAACATTTTCCGG